CCGAGACCAGTGCGTTTTCCACATTACAGCAGCAGCCTCACAGATCTATCAGTCTCCCGCTCCATTCTTGCCTTACTTGTTTACGGGACCACAAGAAACTTAAACTCCTCCAGGGGGCAGGGACTCTCCTCCAAGGAGGATACGACATAGAAACCATAACAAAGCCTCTTGGATCATCCAGGCACTGAAACCCCTGCACCATGTTAAGGTGACATTTTCCTCAGTTGAATAAATCAGTTTATAAATGTTGACCTTCTGAAATTATCTCAATAACTTATTATCACTACTTTACGGATACTCCCCTTGTGTATGTCAAAAATCTTTGTTTCTTTCTGCTCTTTACCGTTTTCCTACTAATTCAATTTTCAATTTCAAGCCAGTATACTTTTATTGCCCCCATGGGGAAACTTATTTGGGGCAAATGAAATGGCCATAAAGTATATTTGGTAAAAAGCCACACAGATGTTAAACATAAAATTCCGACCTTAAAAATTGACACTACAAGCTTTGCTGATAGTTTTTCTAAAATGTTGAGGTATTTCTTTTTATACTCTTTATGGTTTAACCTCTGGTGTGACGGCCTTGTGTAGCAGCCATGTTTGTGTGGTAAAAGTGACAGTGTCAGTGACTGCATTGGATGTGCCAGATGCTCAGTCAAGGAGTGTAATCATGGACTTACAGGAAGGCTTTGTGCTTATTTCTGCAAAGCTTTGACACAGAACATTGTCCACTCCTGCTACATGAACCCAAACAAACATTAAAGCTTTTTTTTTTAACATAACATTTTTCTTTTATTTTCTTTTTAAACAACAACTTTGGATACTATACTTGTAAATTATTCATTAGTATTCAATTTCAAATGTTACCTATAAAATGCTTTGCAGTTTAGAGAAATGTTTGTATAAGTTCATCCAGTAAAATCTGATTTTAAGTCGATGAAGACTCAGATAAGAGTAAGAGGTTCACAGCCTCATGTGTGGCTGCTTGTGACCCTGTGCCAATGTTAATGACAGCTCCTTTCACACATCAGACGTGCAAACACCGCCAACAAAGCAGTGACTGTTAATTTTTCAGCTTCCGTCCCTTCTCAGACAAAAGTGGTCAACACGATACTTTAGATTTGATTTCTTTACATACTGTTTATTAGGGGTGTAAATCACATCCATCATGGCGATTCGATTCAGTATCGATTTCCTGACCCAACGATTCGATTATTTTCGATACTCAAGAATACACCACGATACGATTCGATTAATCAGTTAATTTTTTTTTTTTTTTTTTATTAGTTTTTTTTTACACCTTACAGGCTAAACAAAGTTTCAAGTTTGAAATAAATAAATGAAAGCTGTAATATCGTTATGCATTTTTTTTTTTTGAAACAACAGCAAATAACAGAAGTAGAAAAGTTGCATAAAAAAATACTGCAGAAAATCAGTGCAATGAGTGCAATGCAATGCCTCGGCTCCAGACGATCCCCCCCCCCCCCCTTCACAGACGCTCCACTGCACCTCTCCCAAATTGTAGCTGACCGCAGGCAGGAGGCCAGCTTGTTTTGTTTTTATGACTGAAATTGCGGAAAACAACTCGTGAAGCTTGACCCGCTAGAAGAGCGAGATGCGCGAGAACGATGGGACCCTTTTTCCACCTGGATCTCCGCTCTTTTTGGCCCTCATGTCCCTCCGTCGTCGGACTAAACTCGCCCCCACTTCCTCGCCGCCTCGTCCGTATCTAGACCCACAGCGTGTAGCACAGACCACGTTTCAATATTGAGCATAATTTAAAGATGTCTGTGACAAGCTCACTGCAACACACTGCTGTAAGAGTATAACCAGGAAGCGAGGTAGGAAGGCAAAATAGGTTTAGCGCCACCGCAGCACAGGAGGGAGAATTACGCCTAGGAGCAAATGGATAAAAATAGACTGGAGGAAAAAAAAAAACATGAATCGATTCTCTTGCGGACGTATCGATGCATCGGATCGTCGGCTGTTGGATCGATGCATTGATACAAAACCATTATTATTTACACCCCTACTGTTTATGCAGCTAATGGTTGGAAATTGTGTGTATATTTGCACTGATTAGATTGACTGATGCACCAGGAAAGCATTGAAGAAACAACAGTAGTGCCCTCACCCAGTTTCATTCCAGTTCTGTCTTACAGAATAAGTTTGATGAGTTGAAAAGTGACATTATGTTGTTTTTAATGTGAGCTTGGGAGGAGACTGACATACAGTTTTAGTCACAGGTTTTAAATTCACTCACTGTTAATTTTATATACGGAAGCCGGCAGACCAAACCAGCGCATTCAGCTCGGCAAAGAACTCATGCTCTTCCTCAACACTGAAGTCCTCAGACATTTTTCTTTCGTTGTTTCTTTCTTTGCACAGGTAAACAGCACATTTCTTCTTCTACGCTTGCATTACTGGCAGAGCAGACGCTGAATGCGCACTTTCATCTGGTTTGGTCTGCCGGCTTCCGTAGCGTCGTGAGCGCGCATGTGCGCGCTTTCAGGAAATCCTATACACTACTCTTTATGCTCTAAAAACATTCTAAATGACTTCGTTTCGAGTAAATTCTGGATGCTACCCACTCAGGACACTTGGAATACGATATTAACGCAAATGGAAAAGGCTGGATAGATGAGGAGATGATGAAAGCTTGGCTGAGGGAGGTGTAGCCTATGTGAGGAGACCAGGTGGTTTTTTCCACGCATCACCATCGCTGCGTGCCCATCTCACAGCCGATGTGAAAAAAAAGGTGAATCAAATGAACGCTGTGCTCGCCGTTATCCCGGGGGTCTGACAAAGGAACTTCGACCGCTCGACATCGGTGTGAAGCGGCCGTTCAAAGTAAGGCTGCGAGCGGCGTGGGAGCGATGGATGGCCGACAGAGACCACAGTTTCAGGATAAGTGGAAGGCAGCGCCGGGCAAGTTACGCCACAGTTTGCGGATGGATTGTAGATGGACTAACGTGTCTGCTGGCTCTGTTGTTCAAGCTTTTGCAAAAGCCGGCATTATTTCTGAGGAGCCGCGCTGCACGGAAAGTGACTGACAGCGAAGAAGGGGAAATTGGCATGTCTGATTTAGCGCAGCTGTTTTATTCAGAAACAGAGGATGATGACTTTGATGGGTTTGATTAATACTTTGTAATAAATACATGAATAAAGCACAATCATACTCAGTTTTGCTCCCGCTCTATTTTTCTACCTGAAAACTTAATTCAACAGCAGCCTCTGGGCGGGTCTCCTCCTCTTCACCGCGGCGGCTGGCAGGTGTTTTTTCATCTAAATAATCTAAATCTTGCAGCTATATTTGCTGTGATCAGTGGGAATAAAGTAGTTTTAATATGTTTTTAAGTGAGAAAGTCCACCTGAAAACTTAATAATTGCAGTCAGTTCATCCAGATTATCTATTTCTGTCGGAGGCGCTCAGACCCCCACATACCAGCGGAGAAATCCTTTCATCAGCAGCCTCTAGGCTGGGCAGCCTCCGGGTTCACGCGGTGGATGGCAGGTGTTTTTCATCGAAATAATTTAAACTGCAGGCACCCATAAAAGCGAACATATTCCGTCGGCAGGTTTCAGGATTTTAAGTTAATTTAGGAGTAAATAAAGCACAGTCATACTCAGTTTTGCCCCCGCTGTATTTTTTAATACGCAGTAGAGGTATTTAAAGGTAGTAGAGGACATGTACCTGTATATAAAAAACGCGCCCTATAGTCCGGTGCGCCTTATGTGTGTGTTAAATACAGAAATGGGACACATAACTGAGACTGCGCCTTTTAGTACGGTGCGCCTTATGGTCGTGAAAATACGGTACATTGGACGAGCAGTATGGAGGAATATTGACACGTTTTTTGTGGACTTTTATGGACCTTTCTGTCTCGGTCACCATAGACCTCCATTATTTGAATGTCAGTAGACAGCAAGAAGCCTCCCAGATCTCCAGATGCATTTGAGATATCAAAAAAGTACTCCAGAGTGTTGTTCAGCATGGGGGTGAGTAGAAAATGAAGGCTAATCATGTTTTGGGTGTACTATTCCTTTAAGTTATTTTTCTAATTTTGTATTTTTTTCAGTTTTGTGATGTTCTGTTCGCACGATTTAACTAACAAAAACACCCTAGGAGGTCGATAGCACGCCTTGTTCTCAACTGTTCGAGTTGCACAACATATTTTATGATACCAATATGTACATATTGTTAATTACTGATACCCAATATGAAAAAGATGTGCGCATGGACACACATCTCTACTGTAATGTGCATTGCTTCCTAATAAAATTTTTTATAAAAAAATAAAAATAATTCTTATGGTTTTATTTTATGTTTGTTACATATTAATTACTACTAAAGTACTACTCCAAAGTTTGAGGTAAAGAATATTTGACTTTACTGCTAATTGATAGCAGCCATTTTGAAACCGTAAACTCAGAGTTCCCGACATTATGCTAGATCAATTTAGAGTTGCGGATTTGAATCTGAGTTTGTTAAACTTACTTCGTGAAACGGACCGCTGCTATCAGTGGATCAACCATCCGGACCTATCCGGTCTTCTGGCTCTGATCTGCTCAACAGACTCAGAACCAAACTTATTTTGAAGTTTGGTTCTACATTTAGGTGTAACAAATTACAGTAATTTTTTAAAGATGATCCAAAGTATCTTTTTTTTTAGTGTTGTCAGTCTGAGTATCATTGCTAATTTGTGTTTTCTGTGATTACACCAGAGCATAAAAAGGTTTAAAAAAAGAGCTAAAAAAAAGTTTTTGCTGGATAATTATCATGTTGTTGCTTTTGCCATCCCAAAAGCTTTGGCACCCTGAGTGGTGAGCCATGCTGCCCATATCAGGAACCACCAGATTGCTTTCTAAAAGGGAAACACTGAGCACTATGACCCAGCAGAGAGCCTTCTCCTCCAGAGAGAGAGAGAGAGAGAGAGAGGGGATGAGAGTGAACATGGTTGTGATCAGTGGCGCTTGTTTGATGTCAGAGTGTGTATAAAACGAGGCGTCAGGTCGGATCTCTATTCAGCCACAAGGGGCTCAAGGAGTCACAACTCTGCAAAACACCTGGTCTCCATGCGGATCTATTATGACATGTTTCCTGATGGTTTAAATCATCCCGGCGCATCTCTCTACAGTCTCTCTCAAATCTTTATTTTGTTTTTGAATGGGATCATAGATACAGAATTTTTTAATGGATAAAAAATGGAAAAGATTTATGGACATCTGGCTTTATATATTTCGAGCCGAAAACGAATAAAAAAAAAAGAATGAAGTCAAGTTTTTGTTTCCATCAAGCTGTGCCATTTCTCTGACTGGATGGCGCGCAGCGGGCACCTGAGATGACTTACATCAATGGATGACATAAAAGTGGAAGTTATGGAACATTCTGGGCAACTGGAACCAACTCAACCCGTCAACATCTCTAATGACAGTTTTGTTTCCCACTCACCAGCTGCAGCCGAGAGCGCAGAGAGCCTCATCTATCAGATCTCTCTGGCTGCGATCCTCTCTGTCATTACGCTCGCCACCACTTTATCCAACGCCTTTGTCATTGCAACTATTTCCCAATCCAAGAAGCTGCAAACTCCAGCGAACTTTCTAATTGCCTCTCTGGCTGTCACTGACCTCCTGGTGTCCATATTGGTGATGCCCATCTGCGTCTTGTACACTGTGATCCACACCTGGACGCTCGGGCAGATCGTTTGCGACATTTGGCTTTCATCAGACATAACATGTTGCACCGCATCCATACTGCATCTATGCGTAATTGCACTGGATAGATACTGGGCCATCACTGACGCGGTGGAGTACTCCAAAAAGCGCACGCCGGGGCGCGCAGCCGGCATGGTGGCCACAGCCTGGGTCATCGCCATCTCCATCTCCCTCCCGCCTCTCTTTTGGAGGCAGGTGAAGGCAGACGAGCTAACAAGCTGCAGTGTCAACACAGATCACATCTTTTACACCATATACTCCACCTTCGGGGCGTTCTACATCCCCACCCTTCTCCTCATCGTCCTGTATGGGAGGATATACGTGGAGGCGCGTAAACGTATTCTCAAACAGTCTCCAAAGAAGGTTGGGAAGAGACTCACCTCCGCGCACTTGGTCACCAACTCTCCTGGATCCGTGGCGTCCACGACCTCCCTGCAGTGCGGGAGGCATGACACTCCGTCCAGTGATACCGGCTCTGCAACCAGTGAGAACCAGGTCAAAGTTACGGTATCGGACGCGCTTCTGGAGAAAAAGCGCATTTCTGCAGCCAGAGAGAGAAAAGCGACCAAGACTCTCGGGATAATCCTCGGCGCGTATATCGTCTGCTGGCTTCCATTTTTCATTTACACCTTGCTGGTGGCCACATGTGACTCATGTTTAAACCCTGAGTTGTTCGACTTTTTCACCTGGTTAGGATACCTGAACTCTCTGATTAACCCCATCATTTACACCATGTCTAACGAAGACTTCAAGAAGGCTTTCCAAAAACTCATCCGCTTCAAATGCTGCAGGTCCTGAACCGTTTCCTGAAAACTGAAATGGGCTTAAGTATGTTTAATATAAAACCGGCGGATGTCCGGGTCAATTAACCTCACTGGAGATTTCTTAAGACTTTCTAAATTACGCATGATGTTTCCATTTTGTACCTGTGAACGAAGCATTGCACTTTAACCGGTTTATTTGCCACTGTAGTTCAAATATTTTAATGAATTATAAAAAATAATAATAATAATTAAGGAAAATTTAATCTACCACAAATAATTCAATACAATTGTTATCAATGAAATAGTGATCTAAAAGATTTGCATAATCCTCCCTTTTAATTTTTTGTTTTCCGGTCATTTCTTATCCTCCTTTTTTCTGGTACCATAGGAGGTTTCCCACCAGTCATGCGTCCTAACCCGCCTTTACAGCCATTATTTTATGAACTACTTTGTGTCTACTGTAGGGAAATATAATTTTATGAATCTGTCGACAAGAGGCCACTTAGATTTGTGATTAGATGTCATATTTTTCATATTTCATATGACTCAGAAAGGCCAAATTGGGATTAGATCTAAAAAAAGATGGAAATGCAAAACATCATACGGGTGAATTAAATCATACATTGAATTAAGGAGATTTTAAAGCTATTTAAGGGCTTGAAATAGTTAATCGAACCTCATATGGAATCAGTGAAACACCTTGGGTATTAAATAATTAATTTGTAGGCAGAGGTGGATAGAGTACCCAAAAATGTTACTCAAATATAAGAGTAGCACTACTTCATCACACTTTTTGGTAAAATGGCTACCCAGTTATTGAGTAAATGATCTACTTACTACCCATGATTAAGACAACGGATTTAATATTTTACAAAATGATGCAAAATTTGACAAAATATTAAGTAATTTGCAAATTCCGGTGTTTTAAAGAGTGGATAAAATTAAAGATAAAACATACAATAATTACGCAATACATTTTTGGTGGAAAGAGCACTCTTCAAAATACACTTTTTGAGTTATAAAACAAAATCAATACGCCTGTGTTAATTTGCAGACATTAGGGTCATGGCAAACATAAAAGGGCTTCAATTGAAAGAAAATGGACACCTATTGAAAGACTTGACAAAAACTCCTGGATAAATGTTGAAACATTATCAAAAAAAACCTGAATGACAATCTGGTTGCCTTCTAATTTAAGCCCATTTTGTGGTTACAAAATTAATAGTTATAGTATGTATAAAATACATTAAACTGCAGTATATTGTTTACTTTATTTTCACTAAACCTCCAATTGAGCAAATAGCATTTAACCAATAAGCCTTCAGTACAAAAAAAGAATAAAGCTTGTCTCTCAGTGGGGCATATTTGTTTAAACAAGCTTGTTTTCATGAAGTGAAGTCACTCATAATGGATGGAGTATCCAGAAAGTTGACTCATTTAGAAGTAGCAATACTTCATCATCTAAAAGTACTCAAATAAAAGTTAAAAGTGCAATGCTGTTAAATTATTCTTAAAAGTCCTTTTTTCAAAAATGCACTCACATAAATGTAACTGAGTAAATAGTTACAACTAAACTCTGTCTACAGGAAAGGTAGCTTTTCGGAAAGCTATGACTTCTTATCAGACACACAAAAAAATACAAACCCAGATTAAGTCATGCAGATAGAGAATTTTTACGTTTATTTGAGCCATACAACCAAGTTTGTATTATAATATCTATATATAGAAAAAATAAAGTAATATTTATTACTTTGTCATTGAAAGTTGACTCTCGACGCCCCCATCGGGTAGGAATAGGAATAGCCAGCAGGTAGATATCGAGCATTGCATAGAGCTATTTAATAGCCCAGCAATACTGCAAAGTTACGAAATGGTAAAGTGGCAAAATGAACACAGCACCAGTTAATGATAATCCTGTACAGGTTTAATGAATATGATTATATGCATCGTAAGATGTGCATGAAGAAAAGAAAATCAAGATTTACATCTATATACATATAATTTGTGTCCAAATAAAAATGGAAAAATAACTTTCACCTAAATGTTAAAGGTATAGTGGAGGATTTTTGGCAATTTTTTGAGAAGACCCGCCCTCTCCACTTTAAAAAAGAATGCAAATGCACAACCCTGCACCCGCTGGCGAGAGGGAACGCCTATTAAACGCCTGCAAGAGCGTGTACAAGCTCATTTCTCCTCATGCACGCTCATGCTGTTTGCAAGCTTACTTTCCAAAAGAAGATTTGCAATTTTTCCACTAAGTCAGACTCACCACTGGTAAGAGAAAATGGTGACGAGCACATAGGGCGGCCTTACCTAAACATATCACCAGAATGATTGAAAATCAGGAGGACAACTTATTTTGATGATCCACCCGGAAAAAGAACATTCCCCACTATACCTTTACATGTAGGACTAACACTTTGGATACATCAGCCATGAATCTGGGAAATAATATTTTTAGTAAGAAAATGGAAAAAAGAAGAACTCAACAACCTCAAGCACCTTTATTTTATGTGTAGAGATTGACATTTCAGAGTCTAATAGTCTGCATGAATGTGTGCACATGGATGGTTGGATCAGTTTATACAAATTATCAGCACACATCAAGAGCATTTCATAAGTTTCAGTTTTAGGTGTTTTTTGGCTTATTGAGATTTGTTTTTGCATTAGATGTTTAAATAAGACTCTTTCAAGAGATGCATCAATCAGACTCTACTTGCCAATCAGGAGCTGCTTGCCTTTAGGTCTGACCTGCTGATTATCTTTGGACAATAAAAGAGAATAAATATAAATGAAAGACTTACAAGATGTATAAATAAGATTATTTGTCCGATACCCTTCTTTTTTTATTATCAAAGAATAAAAATGCATCAAATCCCATGATTATGGGTTTATGCTGAGTGAAAAATCGGATCAATGGCTACAAAAATGTTTTTTTCATTAGTTGGTATCACTAATCTGAGCCAATCGTGGAAACAACAGTCAATTTTAAAGCCTTACAGATATATTGATGCCTTCTAAAAAAAAAAAAAATCACGTCCTAAATGTCCATGTTAAAGTATTGCAAAGGCAGCATCTGTTTTGATTTTGATCCCAGACTGCTTGCTGTTTCACTGTATGATTGTCTGGTTAGAAAGCAAAGGGGGAAAAAAGGGAGAAAAAAAAAAGCAGAAACAGAAAGTCTGCAGGCTGCGCCCTACAGCAGGAAAACAGTCACACAAAATCAATGTCAAACAAAAAAACCCATACTGCATCTGATATTTGCCAAGTTGGATGCCGTGACGATATCACCCTGTTTTGCAGAGCAAGTGTGAGTCTGTCAGCAACATTAAATCTGAATCTACAGTATATAAAGTTGTGATCTTACAGCTGCAGAATCTGAGATGCAGTGCAATGCAAAGAAAAAGATTGTTTCTCTTTATTTGAAATATAAATATTGTGATGTAAATTTGTGAAATAAGGCTTTGTATGTATGTCTGTTAATTGTGTTCTGTAAGGAAGACTTATAAGTTCAATATGAAAGATTATTGGTCTCAGAATAAAAAAGAAGAGATGGTAAAATCACATTACAGAATGTGTTATGAATGAACAGAGACTGTTGTACTAATTGGATTCTCCTCCATCTTCCATTGCTTCTAATTTCACTACTTGCCTACCTCTGGGAGGAGTACACATCTATTTGATCAGCAGCTGTCAGATTTTAGTGTGATATGACAGCGGGAAAAGCTCTCCTGCCCTCATAATGTCAGCAAATGCATAAGCATATCCTCCTCATGGGCTTCTGTTGGACAAATTTAATATGCATGAAAGATGAGTATATTCAAACAAAGCCGTTTCTTAGAATTTCTTCTACTACTTCCAGATACGTGAAGGGATAAAAAGGGCAGAATATGAAAGGATGTAAAAAAGGGGGTTAAATAAAAATAAATCTCCCCCAATTACTGTTGCTATTAGTTGTGTTTATCAAGATTTATATTGCAGAATCTTATAATCTATGTTAATACCTAAAAGTTTTGATTCCAAGGAAAAAAAGAAGCAAAAGGTCATCGTAACAAATGGATGAACCGGAAAAATAATCGTTGCTTTGGGATACACCCATTGGACTAGTTATAATTGCTCTTTTAAATCTTAGGATGTGGAGAAGCAGCAAAACTTCTAAAAAAATATACTAGATAGTAGTAAGTAAATCAGTAAAAGTAATGGAAGGTAAAGTTGATATAGTGAGAAATTACATTGTAATTCAACTGGGTTTTTCTTCTTACAAACTTCATCAATTATTGAAATCCCAAGAACTTTGAGGAAAGAAATTGGTTAAGTATATATATATATAAAATTTAAGTCCTATAAGATATATGTATTTTTACAGGACTTAAATATGCCTAGGAAATAACTTAAATGAAGCTGAATAGTCCGGAGAAAACTTCAGATAACAATGATGCCATGGGAAATATAGCCTACAGCTAACTCTATTTTTATTCTACCATTCAAAATTTAGAGCAAAAACTACAGAACGCTTAACAGGAGACTAAAAAAACCCACCAAAAGGAATAATTTAACTAAGAAGAATCCAAAAATAATATAAATCTTAATAGCAAACACAGAATAACATAATTAGAAAATCCCCTTATTGTCCCACAATGAGGAAATTGTGGCATTACAGCAGCAAAACCATTGCAGCAAAATTCACAAAAATGAGGAACTTACAAGTGTATAAAAATAACAGAATAAGTGACAGTTTAAAAATAAAATACTGTACAGAATATTTACAAATATAAATACCGGACTACACTACACAACACTATACACTAGAAGAATAAATATCCAATATACAGCTGTGGACATTTTTACAGTGGTACTGTCGATACGATAAAACAGCAGCAACACCAGAGATGTCCAAAATGACAGCAGCATGCAGCAGTAAATCAATGCTTAACCGAAAAACCAAAGTGAAAACTTGAAAAGAACAAAAAATCCAGAGCAGCACATCATTACAATAACTGGTTGGTTGAGCCACTGCAGCAATATCTGCTATTGGATGGATGATTTCCAGCATTTTGCATTTTGGAGGAATTTTTAACAACTTTTCTTTGTCTTTTTTAAGGTCAAGCTAGAGGGATTTTAAATGGACACAAAAGCGCATATATATATATATATATATGCATTTCAGAGGATACCGTTTCTGATGTTCCTTGGAGAAATTTTCTGGGCATGACCCAGATACATGAGAATAGGGATGTAAACATATTACCTGGTATTCTGGAGAATGGGTCATGATTCTGCACTTTTTGGTTTGTTTAAGTTTTCCGTTGAGTTCTCAGTTACACTTTATTCGTGTCTTTCTGTTTTTTTTTTTTTAGTTTATTGGTTTCATTTGAATTTTGGGTTGTTTTCTGGTTGTATTTCAGTTCTTATTTATTTTTTGTTTAGCGTCTGTTGCCCTCTTGTGTCAGTCTCCTTCCACTAGCTCCATTCTAGAGTCTTCTGCCCACACCTGCTCCCAATCAGTTGATTACCCCAGTCTTTGTTCAGTTTGACACCTAGGCTCTGTTCGAAAACCTAGGACGGGTCCTCCAAGGACGCGGTCTACCTAGACTGGATCCTTCGAAGTCCTTGAAAATAAGGAGACCGGAAGAGTTTTGGCTGTAAATTCGACCAGGTCTACCCTTCGGCGGGTTTTACCGCAGTATGCTCTGTTGCTTAGCAACCGTGAACGTTGACACACAAAGCAGGAAAAGAATGAATACAGAAGTTTTTAAAACTGTTTATTTATTTCTTTTTTATTGTGAAGTGAACAAAGACTACACTCACAAGAATCCAGAGTGGAATAAAGGTTCCAACCACCTGGAGCAGGAACAAATAAAATCAAATGTAATGATAGAAACCATAGTCAGTTAAATAAAATGCTGCTGTCATTCTGCACATCTCTGATGTTGCTGCTATTTTCAAATATCCATTACTGTAAAAATGTCCATAGCTGCATATTGGTTATTTATTCCCCAGTTTTATATTGTTAAAACACTTTACAGTATTTTATTGTTTATATTTTAAGTCTTCCCTATTATGTTATTCTTATACATTTTTCTAAGGTCCACATTTGTGTGACCATTCTCAATAATCTTTCTGCTGCTGTAAATTTGCCCATTGTGGGAAAATAAAGGGATTTTCTATTCTATTCTATAAAAGTTGTAGAAATATATAAGTAAATCTAAACAATATATTTATAAAAAATATATCTGCAAAATCTCTAATATTCAACAACAAAAAATACGAAGTTAAGCATATTGTGCAAAATAGCAATATAAAGATAAAAATCCTATCAGATTTATAGTCCCCACCCTGCAAATATATTAGAATCTGTCCTTAAATTACAGCCAAACCCATTTATACAGTAACAGATAGAACCTTTAGATAAACCAAACATTACCGCCACATATCTGACTCAATAACCATTAAAACAACTATTTTCATTCATTTCAGACGGAACTATTCACAGTTGTATTATATTAAACTGAACTTCCAATTTTCACCACTGTTCGGCGCCAAGTAACCTTTCCTCTGATCACAGCTTGCTTGGTCTCGCAATGAATCCTGGGATATCCAAGAATACCGAGGATACATCGGACCCGTCCTTCAAATCGGGCAAAAAGAAGGACCCATTTTAAGGCCGCATAACGAGGACTCTTGGAATCCGACCAGACCTCGGCGCCGCGCTATGACTCTGGTTTTTTGGTTTACTGCATTTTTGTTTAGACTTTGCTGCTGTTGCTTTAAATCCTGTAAAGACACACAGACTTGACAGTTTATAAAATAAATGCCCCTCTTGCCACATACCAGGATCCCTCACATCAAGGAGTTAGCCCACAGCACCGAGGGACAAGTGGCACTAAGTAAAGAATAGCTGAAAAAAAAAAATAACATGTTCAATAGCCTGAAGGAGGCAAACATCATTTCACAACACTTTATACAAAATGTTCCTAAAAAGGTGCAATTACCTTTACATAGCCACTTATTTTACATTGGGTGCATGACCACATTTTTGAGTGTTGGGTATTATTTTAATCTTGGCCTTTTAACCCACTTTTTTAT